TCTGAATTACCTTCAGCAAAATTTTCCTTGCATGTGATATTAGTCATATGGTTCAACACTTTCCCCATTCTTTGGGATAACCTTTCTTTGGAATGGCTACAAATACGGATCTCTTCCAGTCCGCTGGCCAGGGAGCAGCCTTCCAAATTTCTTAGCACAGACGAGTGAGCGCTTCCAATGCTTCATCAACTTGTTGAAACATTTCAATGGGTAGTCCATCAATTCCTGGAGCTGTAAAAGACAGATTATACCCTCCAGGAGGAGGCTGCACCTTGATTGTAGCTAGTGAGAACCCCTTTGAACTGTAAGGTAATAAAGGAGTGTTGGGTTAAGCCCCCACCTTTCTGGACATTTGTCCCAGCAGCCAGAAGGAACTCTTACAGTGGGGTTTCTCTGTCTCCCTTCTTCCCTCTCAGGGATCACTTCAAAGCACCTGTTCATCACCATCAGACCACACAGGGCTCCTTGTGGCTGATCCTCCTTGGTGGTCATGCTTCTCTAGGTCCCCAAAGTGCTTCAACCAGCAGAACTGACTCAAAGGAACTGGCAGAAGTACAGGGGGGAAAGAGACAAGCAGTTCACTGGGCATTCTACTACCCAAGGGTAGAATTAGGCAGAGTCTGCTACCTCTTTGGCCTTGGCCTCCCTGCTGTGTGCCCCCTGCAGGCTGGGGTCTCCCACTCCTGGCTCACTGGGTGCACTGGTCCAGCTCACAGGTTCTGTTCACCCAGCTGCCTATGGCTAGCTGCCCCTTCCCTTTTGTAACACCGGCTGCTCACTCTCCCCTCACCTGCAGCTTCTCCATTGAAAGCTTCTTCTGATACATAGATGAGCAGCGCTGGACTTGTTTCTCTCGGAAACCCAGCCTAACAAAACCCAACGAAAAGAAGAAGGTTGTGGGAGGAACCCTGGGTGTCTGAGTAGGGTGAGAAGGTGGAGGAGGGTGGAGGCATGTCTGCCATCTGCCTATGGCAATTGAGGGGAGTTGGGTTGTTGTCCCTTATGGAGCCCGGAGCCCAAGGAGGTCAGATAGGGTTGGAATGTGATCTGTCCATCACCATTAACCCTTCCCTGTAACCACTACTAAATGCTGCATATACACTTGCCTCTGCTGACCTTTTTATACGTGTGAGGACATACACTTCTTGTCCTTTGAGGTTTCACTCCAAATAATGCCTTTCAGTTCTATCCACATTGTAGCCTGTATCAATATTGCATTCAGTAGAAAAAGATTAAGACTTGGAAATGTTTGGTAAAATCATCCCAAATGTACTGCTCATTGTTTTGAGTGTTTGTCAAAAGCCATACAACTACCACACACACAGTGAACCTTGATCTAAACACTGGCAAAGTATAACCTGAGTTAGCAATGATGTATTGTTATTCAGTCATTCCTAACAAAGGTGCTACACAGAACAAAAGATGTTACTAGGAAAGCAGTGTGCTGGAAAAGAGGGTATATGGGAACTCTACTTTCCGCATAATTTTTCTGTAAACCAACCCCCCAAAAATGTATTAAAGAAAAAGGAATATGACTTTGTTAAGTACTACAAAACAGACTGTGGTGGTTACATAATCTGGTGCCAACTGGAGACTTTTGAGAGTGGAGGGGCAGAGGTTAGCCTGTCAATCAGGTCACAGTGTGATGACCTCATTTGGAGGCGCTACAGAGATAAATGGCTTGCTGGAGGCAGGACACACAGACTCTCTGCTTGGTATTCCTGATGATAAGACACATGTAGTTACGCTAGAGCCCTGGAGCTGGAGGAGCTGCAAGGAGACCCACAACAGTGCTGAGATGCTTCCACCACCACGGGACACAAGCCTTTCCACCCACTGGCCTGTGATCTTCCTGCATTCGGTGTCATTGCATGTGTGTGTGAGTCTGAAGGGGAATTTATAGATTGGTCTCAGACACATGGGCTAATATCAGACTTATGGACTTGATCTGGACTGGGCTAGGATATTTTCTCAATATACAATTGCTCTTGTATATAAAGCTCTTTCTTATACATTTAAGAGTTTCTATGAATTTGTTTCTCTAGTCTACCCAGACTGACACATATGCCATGGCCCGACGGGGACTCTGAAGGCTCATAAAAGTTCATGTTTCTCTCTGACTTTAGTGCCTCTGAGCTTCACTTGGGCCTGTGTGCTGGGTAGGATGCAATGAGACTATTATTCATCACCCACAGTTTTGAATAGCAGCCAAATGGTTCCAGTGTCTTTCAAGCCCACTGAACATTAGCCACTGCTCCTTGAAAAGCCATAGCAACCTTTGTTAGTGGAGCTGTTGTTTCTTGACATATCCTCTTAGCTGGCTCTATATTTCTAAAGGCAGTACTCCTATCTCTAACCCTTCTCCCAATAATTCTGTGCTCTTCAGTTCACTCCACATCAAAAGCAGTTTTGAGTCCTTAAGGGACTCAAATCGTGAGCCTTTTAAATGTTCTCTGAGTTTGGGAACAAAGAGAAGTTTAGCGGTCGAGATCAGGCCTGTAGTATGAATGGGCTACGATTTCCCCAGGACATTTAGGGCAGGCCTGGGTCCACTTGAAGAATGAGCAGGTGCATCCTTCTCACTGAGTGGGGGGAATTCCTCATCACACTTTCCTGGTCTTTTTCTCACTGATTTTAAGAAAATTGACCTTTCTTCCTAAGAAACCCTGTGATTGTCCTGTGTCCCTTGAGAAAATCTATCAAGATTATCCCTTTTGAATCCCCCAAATCAGTGGCCATAACCTCCTGAGCTGCAGTACATTTTGGCTTACTCTCGTGAATGAGAGAGAGAGAATGTGTGTGTGAGAGAGAGAATGAGAGAGAGAGAGAGAATGTGTGTGTGTGTGAGAGAGACAGAGAGAGAGAGAATGAGAGAGAGAGTGTGTGTGTGAGAGAGAGAGAATGAGAGAGAGAGAGAGTGTGTGTGTGTGTGTGTGAGAGAGAGAATGTGTGTGTGTGAGAGAATGAGAGAGAGAGAGAATGTGTGTGTGTGAGAGCGAGAGAGAATGAGAGAGAGAGTGTGTGTGTGTGAGAGAGAGAGTGAGAGAGAGAGTGAGAGAGTGAGTGAGTGTATGAGAGAGAGTGAG